GATGGAAGCAGAGAAGAGTGATAGTTAACAGAGGACGGCATAACGCCAGGCAACTTAAGGCAGGGCGGCACAACTCTGACCATAGTAACTGTCACTCAAGTCGGCCAAACCACAAAAAAAGGCATTAAAACGTGAGCTAGGCTAAAACATGAGACTCATGTAGCCGCATTTCCACCTCAGGAACTGCTGATATGGTGTTAAGTGTGGCACTGAAGTGAAAAAAAAGAGGAACAAATAGTTGAATCTTCATATTACATTCAGTCAGCATATTGTTGTATGAGTCCTGTTGTCTTTGGCATTCTAGTATTTTATATTAGTCTCACCATTAATTGTGTATTAACTTAAAAATCACCCACCTCTCCTGTCCTTTGCAGCTGTAGTGTCTCCCCACCCAAACGGAGTCGTGGTAAACCTGCATTGGCTAAAGTTCCCAGCAGTGAGAATGGAGACATCACTGGGTCTGGTGTGTATTACGAGAAGGGCAATCAAAATACTGTGAAATGCCTCAGTTTTTGTGTTCATTGGAGGCATAATGTAAAATTCTACACAAAAAACAATTGTCATAAACAATTCAATTCTATTAAATTCTCAATTTGGGCTCAAGAGATGTCATGAACAGAAATTAATTGGATATATTGGAATATCCTGTTCACAGGAAAGTCTACACTTCTGTCTTTAGATAGTGAGACCGTGCTCTCACCTCTGGACCTAGTTTGGGCCAAATGCAGAGGATATCCATCATACCCAGCAATGGTGAGGATATATTTGATCTATGGTGTACACACTGTAGCATTTCTTTGGCTCATAGTGCAAAGTTTCAGAACTGACATAAAGAAAAAGGCCTCATTGCACCCCATAGAAGGAAATGATAAATCAGTCAACTGCAACTGACATAATTTATTGTTGCAGATTGTTGACCCAGACATGCCCCAGGAAGGGCTTCTTCACAATGGCATCCCCATTCCAGTGCCTCCTGTGGAGGTGCTCAAACTGGGCGAATGGAGAGAAACGGAAGAAGGCGAAAAGCTCTTCTTAGTGCTCTTCTTTGACACCAAAAGAACTTGGTAAGATTCATACAGGCAGGCTAAACCTCATGCTGAATTTTAAAGCAATCGGAGAGCAGTCTTGGTCATTTTGAATTTAACCCTCTTGGTTTTCAGGCAATGGCTCCCTCGGACCAAACTACTGCCGCTGGGGATGGACGACACCGTGGACAAACTGCGCTTAATGGAAGGCAAGAAACCCAGCGTTCGCAAGTCTGTACACACTGCATACGACCGGGCCATGGTGCATTTAAATCACGTGAGAGGAAATCTAAATTTCACTCCCTCCAATTTTATATAGTTGGTTTTTTTTTTTTTTGTTTCAAGTATCATCTTAAACAGGATGCCTGGTGGTTTGTATAGAAGCTTTATAAATGCTCTTAAAAAGGTGGGAAAGTGAAATGAACATTTGATGGTATTTGAAGGTTTTCTGCATAAAACTGTTGCTCTGATTTTTAAAACGGAAAGAAAAAAGTGCTTGAAGACATTTTACACAGATGAATTTGTTCATTTATTCATGTCATTTAAAAAAAAAAAAAACTGTTGCTATGTGTTCATATAAAGTTTTTATTTTAGGCCAAAGTGAGTCAAGACAGCGAGAAAAGTGTAAATATTTAATCGTCAAAGGGATTGTCTTGATTCAAAACATATTTAGATTGTATTTGCCATTGAAATGTCACTGTGTTTTATGAAGTGTGAAAGTCCCACTCAGTGTTCACATCATATCTGGACTCTATGGATGTTTGGCTTAAACAGATATTTAGCCTTAAAAAAATACTTCAAATTCTAAGTAGTGTTTGTAATCATATTATATGAACTTAAAAAAAACCCAAACCTGACCTTCAGATCCTCCCTCTATTTAATCCTGTATGATCCAGCCTTTTAGTTACCATTGTTATCAAATGGAGCATCATTCAAAAAGAAATACATCAAACCTGCTTGAGCTGGCATCGACATTAATCCTAAGGCTAAGCTGGAAGTGGAGCATCACTGGTTCAATGTTTATTCAACAATTCTGAGAATTGCTCAGGATATACAAGATATGTGTCAAAGAACAATGAATAGAAACATTGATAATTTTAGGTCAATGGGCTGCCAACACAAACATTCTTGAACTGTTAGTCCAATTATGACGTGTTGAAGGTGGGACTTTAGAGCTCTTTACTTATTTTTCCATATTGTGAAACTGTATTATGATACTAGAACGTTGGAGTACCCGGTGCAGCTACTTGGTTCGTAAGATGTGAAGCCACTATAGAAGTGAAGCTGGTTATTTTGTGGTTATGACAACTTCTACTGCGATCACTCACTGAAGAAATTGCAATTGTTTGCAAATCTGGCGGAAATTACTTGAAAAGCACAATCGGTCTGTTTTAAAAAAAGAAAACAAAAAAAACAACAACTTAGGTTTGGTGACTCCGGGAGCCATATGTGTGGCAAAAACATCTGTGTGTGTGTGCGCGTGTGTGTGTGTGCGTGTGTGTGTACAGTATATACATATATGAATACAACCTCAGTGTAGTAAAGGTGCATGTGTATAGTTTTGTAAATATGTAAATGTATGTTTATATTGGCTTACATGAAGTAATTTAAGGAATGCAAAAATCAAATTTAGATTTTAATTTATAATTTGTGGCAGTCGAGAGTGTTATTTAAAAAGTAAAATATTGAAAAGATTTATGTATGATGCTAAGTAGCTCTTTGTAATAGTGACGGTATTCACCAACATGTCAGAACATATTCTCTAGAAGTGAGGCGGCACAAGACCTGAGCTCTGTAGGCAGCAGTAAGCGTACTAGTCTACAAGAGGGTTTTTTTGTTTGTTTTTTCTTGGGTGGCACAGGAGATTTTTGATCTTGTCATTTGAATTGTACTGCAAGATCTATAATCTGCCTGAGACAATATTTTCTCACACAAGAATAAATGCTGTTTGAAACAACCGCATGTGTTATGTCCTCCATTAACCACCTGCTCAACATAGTACATTGTATTATTGGGAGTTTTTCTTCCTTCTGGTTAAAGTTTCATTTCAAGACAGACTCTAAATATACGAAGAGAAAATGACGAAGGTTTGAAGTTAAAGTCGCATTTGCTCCTCCACATTTCTTGGAATGATGAGAGGCAATCTTACAAACTGAATAACGCAAGCTCAGAAAAATATAATGATGCAAAATTTCCTCTTCAAGGTCTTCTTCACCTGACAAAGACCTTGAAGATTGAAACACAGCATTGTTAAATATTTGTATGTTGCTTTTGTCCAGCACCTGAACATGAACACTTTGCTTCATCCACACGTCAGTATACATCAGAACTTTAATGACTTCAAATGTGGCCGAGAAATACAGCCCACTGTTGTCATTTGGAAAATGCAAACAGTGCATCAGATTCCTGCATTATTCATTAATCCATTGTGTGGTGGTCAGTTGCTCCAGTATTTATGTGATCATATTTAACTTGTAATGTCAGGAAATATCAAGTGCCAGTATTGTATATATCAGGTTTTTGTGTTAAGGTTATCAACTCATTATTGTACTATATCATTAATTATAAATACATATTTATCATTAATCTAAAAAAATACTTGCACACAATATATTTGTTACATGTCACACCTTGAACACTAAAAATGCAGCAGTTCACCACAGGTATTAATGCTTTGTTGAGTGTTTAAAGGGAGGTACGTGGCGATAAACACTGCCCAAACACACACTGGGTTCTTTGTTTAACTCAGGAAAGCTGACTCATGCTCAGGTTGGCCTTCAGGTCACATCGAGCTTCCTGAAGTTGTACACAACAGATGCACTGATCAAAGACATCATGACATGTCATGTCTATTTTATGGGTCCCTTGAATTCCTAATAATGTTCTCAGGTGTTTCTAGGAAAGAACAATGTAATACGGTACTAATAATAATTCCATGAAAGAACAGCTCCATTGAAATGCACTTCATATTAATTAGTTACTGGAAATCGTTGGGATCGGTTGAATGCTGGCGTGTAGACAAATTCCCCATAACTGCATGTTCAGTTCACTGACTATTTTTTCTATAATTAGTACCAAATTACACCGTTTTTCCACGAAAATTATTACGGAAATCACAGAGCTGCAGAATCAAGCGTGACTTAATGTTAACTTTTCATTTCCTGGCAGATAATACATGAAGCTTAATCATGACATCTCCACTTAATTAGGACAAGTGTTGATTTGTGCAACCTGGGATTTATTTCATAATACTATAGACATACTCTTAAGACTTGAATTGACAGGAAATTCCTCAAAGGACACAAGGATGAGGCTACTGTTTATAGACCATCTTTACAAAACTATTATCCAAAAAGATAAGTCGCCTGAAGTCACTACATTAAGTGTCAACTGATAAATCGTACTACAAGTATCTGCAGAAAAACATTGCATGAGCTCAGTGGCATCTTCTTAGCTTAACAGAGAATGTGCAAACTAACAAGTTTTGACTCTTAGCAATAAAAACACTAACAATGACAATGATGATCATGTAAAGTGATCAGGTGTAACAGGCTGGATTTCCTACTCGTTTTCTGCACAAAATGTAACATGAATGAAACCTGATCATTTAAATTTGATTGGAAACATCAGTGGGATATGAAACAACACCACGTAGTAAAGTTCTGTCACAGGGATGAGCAACAATATTTATGCAGGGCAATTTGTTAGTTCACGGCCCTGTATGACACGTGGCCCATCCCTGTTCTGTCAGTTCCAGTTGTTGCTATTCCAGTTATTGTTGAGCCCAAAACAACATTCATTTCATTTCTTGCGCTCTTCCTGTTTTGTAACACTGGGGTGTTTTTTGTGTCATGAAAGAAATCTTTACGTGAGAACTAATCTGAGAAAATTAAATTTAACTCCTCGTCTTAACTTGCACAAGAAAGAAGCGATGAATAGTTATAGCATATGAATGAACTGTCATCTGCATGGTACATTCACTGTCCGTGAGGAAAAATTTCTCATGTCGCAAGTATTAAAACAATATAAAAACATTTAAATATCATTGCAATTGTTTTCTACCACAGTTCAATTTAAAACGTACTAATGCGGTTTTGCCCTGACTCTTTCAGATCGAAAGCAGTGATGCAATGACATGCTTTCTTGTTAAGGTAAAGAAATAATACTAGTCTGAAAGAGGTCGTTCTTTTTAAATAGTGTAAAACATAGTGTTTGATTCCAGTAGTCAATGTCTGTCAAGTGTCAAAAGAGGGTTCAAAAATATCTTGGAACCAGTGTACAAACTATTGTTGAATGAGGCAGAGCAACTATAGTAGCACTAAGAGAGTCCTATAGAAGAGATAAGAAGCCGTTATCTGTGGAGTCTTGCTGGTCAGATTTGCCACCTCGAGAGCTCTTGCTGGGATTTGGGGTGGTTGAATACTTTGGGGGGTATCTGATGAAGAGACGGTCCTCCTCCTTTTTAATCCACCTTAGAAGCTTAGTGATAGCAGTGATGGCACAGGCCTTTGTCACCAGAGGACTGAAGCAGGTGTACAGCTCAAATTTACTTGTGACCTACAGTGGAGAGGAAAGTGGACATTTTAGGCGAGGACATCAAATTTGATCCTCAAAAGACACTGAAACAATCCATCACTGTCTGTATGAGTATAAGAATACTGTGGTTTGACTTAGCATAAAGACTGGAAACAGTTAGCCTGGTTGTGTCAAAGATAAAGAAATCTATCGACCAGCACCTCTAAAGCTCACCAATTAACAAGTTATGTTCTGTGTAAATATTCACTGTGTTCAGCAGATAAATAGTCTTGCAGATAACCCGGAATAAAACCACAACTTGTCGTTTTTCTAGTCTTTATGCTAAGCTAAGATAAGCTAACTCCTGGCTTCAGCTGTTATACTGAACAGATTTGAGAGCGATATCGATCTCCTCATCGAACTCTAAGCAAGAGAGCGAATTTTTTAAAAATGTTGTTTCAAAAATAAACAAATGCACACAAAGACAGTATTTAGATCCATAAACACAGATACAGTACATACCCAGGCTAGCAGAGTTTCCCTCTCAGCGACGTGGTAGATGAGCTTGAGGGGTCGTGAAGTGCTGTGGATGCGGCTGTGCATATAACGATAAAGGTCCAGCAGTCTCATTTTCTCCTCCTCACTGCTGTAAGGTGCCTCCATCTCTGGGCTGCAAGCAGCAATAAACCGTAGAGCCAAGGTTACACACAGAAACGGCATTCAAAGTTTTCACATAATCTAAGATACTGTGATACAGTTGCACAGTATCCTGAACAGTGACATCATGTTAGTGCTGTGATTACTCTATTATAGTTTCACTTTCTCTTTCAAGGTTTCGACCGGCAGCTAATTTGTTTCTCTCTGTAAGTGGAAGCTCTATTTCAGAATTTAAACAAAATGCCTCCTGTAGTTTATGTATAAGATACACAAACACACACATACGCACCTGGTGAACTGAGTGAGCTGGCGGTAGTTGTCTGGCACATCAAAGGGCTTGTACATGAAGTGTCTGAGGTCTGAGACTCCCACCTGGCTCACGCTGTACGACTGGACTTTGGCAATGAGGCTCAGGGAGTTCTGAGCCACCATGGCCTCCTCTATCTTCCTCTTGCACTCAGCTACAGAGTAGAAAGCCTCCTTGTCTGTCGAGAGCAGCAGCAGACAAACAGTGCATTCTGGAGGGTCCAGGTAAGAAATGTATGCATAAAAGTAACAGTCAGGATTAAAGAGGGGGAGACAGATGGGAGTCCAGATCTCCCCAGCCTGAAAGGCAGAGGAGGCTCCGATGAGGTTGAGCAGGAGGTGGACGTCAGCAGGCTCCAGCCTGGTGTCCTCGATGACCGTCTTCTCTTGGACGATGGTGAGCAGCTGGTTCCTGGCGATGAGGATGGAGAAAACCAGATTTGGGGTGATCGCTTTCTGTAGGATCTGGCTGAGAGAGTCCCTGAGAGAGGAAGCTAAGGGCAAGCAGTGTACCGCTGCTAGCAGGAAACTGGGATCAGAATCCACCAGGTTGAGAAGACCGTCCAGGATCTTCTCTGAGCCCGTCAGGAGTCTCCTCAGGTCGTAATTCTTTTTGTGTTCAAAGATGCGGGATATGCTGGCCTGGGTGAGCATGCTGATGATCTGATAGTACACATAGAGGAGCTCTCCGCGCAGCTGCCGCTCAGACTGACGACTGCTAGAGACGCAAACCAGCACCAGGGGTCCTTTCTGCAGGAACACCACGGTGTGTTCCTCTGATGGAAGGAAGAAGAGACATCAGCAAACGTTAAGAATAATACTGGAAGTAACGCTGAATGTCTACTAATGATGATAGACAGCTCTGCATTCAACAATGTTTGACATGTTGTGGACTTGGAAGTGAGTGTAAATTTAAGAGGAATTTACAAAATAAAATATTGTGCATCAAATAAACACAAATCGAATGTAAAACAATACTGTAAATGCACAAATTTCTACTTGCTGTTGTATTTCAGACATTGGCTTTATATAAAGGGGAAGTTAATTATTGCCAAGCCGCTGCGGTCGGTCATATTCTAACCACAATCATCTGTGAAATCTCTACACTCATTTATATAAATGGAAAATGACATTTACAATAATGTTACAAAAGTTGAGAGGGGGAAAAAAACAACAACACACCAATGGTCTCACCTGAATATACGGAGCGGATGATATTATCTCCACTTTGAACAAAGGACACCAAAGCCATCATGACTCCCATTGTAGATGAAAGAGCCTCTTCACTGCCGTATCGGGAATAGATGGGTTTGCCTGCTTCACTTAGCACAAAAACATGCTTCCTGTGCTGCCGCCAGCTGTCCGCTGTCACGTCCTCATCACGGTGAGACATAAACGCAGGATATTCCTCGGTGCCTGCCTCCAACAAGGGAGATGACCTTCCCTTCATACCTAAACCTTGCTCCTCCAGCTTGGCCTTGGCCAGCATTGTAACGACAAACTCCCCAGAGTCGCCCTGGTCACTGTCAGTGGCAGCATCCTCAGCTCCTCTGTCAAACGGCTGGGCGGCCACATTGTTCTGACACTCGGGGCTTTCTGTCTCCTCAGTCTCTAGCTTTGTTACCTGGTTAGAAGGGGACTCTGCGTTCAGACTCTGCTCCTCTGCTGAGACGTCTGACAGGAGTGAATCTGCAGGCTCCTCTTTGTTAACAGTGGTACCGTCATTTCTCTCCACCGGATCAGGAAACATGTGATTCCCCAAGAGGGAGAGGGAAGTCGCCAAGGTGTCAGCTAAGACGAAAACAAGATTTTAATTATGAAAATGAATGATGACAGGTGAGCTAAGTTAGAAAGGCTTTAATGAGAGATTAAATCATTTACCAGGTGGATTGCTCTCAGCGGGTGGATCACAAATCTTCACTCCCTCTGCCTCTCCTTCTTGATGATTGTCTCTCTCCATGATACCATCCCAGTCACTGGAGACAGAAACGAAAGCACACTATAACCAACCAATGTGGATGAACTAGTTATAGAGCAACACTAGTGCATGTCAGTGGTTGCAGCTGAACATTGAAAACAGCGTGCATCTCAACCTCTAATGAATAGGAGCACTCATACTGGACCAGTGGTCACATGATAACAGAGGATAACTGGTTAGAGGAGAATTACAACTCAAAGATACGGAACAGACTCTGGAATTTAAGACTGATTACAACTTCCAGCAGCCTGGCTAATGTTACACTACAGACAGGCTGTAATGTGACCGGCAGAGCTAGGGAGCTGACGTTTGATTAATAATAGCTTAAGTTACTTGTAAAGCTGCTGTTAGCTTGCGTGCTTACTCGCTCACCGCCGAGAAAGCTCACTTTTCCATTCTGACTAATGTTTGACTGTGAATTCCGATGCAACTCAGCATACGTTCACTGTAACGTTAAGTTAGTTTCATGGCTAACACCGCCGTGCTAGCAAGCGACACACACACACATATACACACACACACAGATCAATTTCATGGCCTTGGCTTAACAGTGAGCATGCAAGCAACCGTGGTCAACTAATATCAGACAGGTGAAGACAAAGAGTAATACTTACGATGTTGTACCGTCGAAGCGTTGGGTTGAATATCTAATTGGCTACATTAACTTTCATCAGCAGCCCGGTTGGTTGCAGACAAGCTGTCAAGAACAGCAGAAAACAAATTTTCCTCTTACCACAGCAGACATCCGGAATCTCTGATGACAAGCTCGGCCGACCAA